TGCCAAGAAAAATGTATGTAAAAGTACTTAACTGTTTCTAAACATGTTTAATAATTGGAATTGGTAGAAAAATTAACAGTGCCTTAGCTTGAGTTGGAATTTGGCTGGGCTTATAAATTTCAAATCCTCCTCCAATCAAGAAAAATAATATGAGTAATAAGAGAAGGAAGGGCAGGAAAGTTCAATCTTCCCTCCTGTTATGTTCCTTCTCTGCTCTCCTAGGACATCTTTCTCATTTAATCGAAAAACTCCAGGTGAGAGCTTCAACATCATTTCATCCATAAAGGCTTGGAACCACTACTTTCTTTTCTTTTTTTAAAATGTTTATTTCTGAGGGAGAGACAGAGAGCACAAGAAGAGGAGGGGTACAGGCAGAGAGAGACACAGAATCTGAAGCAGGCTCTAGGCTCTGAGCTGTCCACACAGAACCTGACGCAGGGCTCTAACTCACGAATTGTAACATCATGACCTGAGCCAAAATCAGATGTTTAACCAACTGAGCCACCCAGGCGCCCCTGAACCACTGCTTTATGTAACAATCCCTACTGATACAGATGCTATAATCTAACAATGTTTTCTGCACGGAAAAACTTAAAGCTGCAAAGAGGATTTTTACCTTTTCCCAGTGGGGCAGTCTTGTCCAATTCCGTAAGCCAGAAGAGCTGCAGACGGTTCATGGATTAACCGCAAAATGTTAAACCCAGCAGCTCTGGCTGCTTCCCTATGGACAATATGCGTTCAATGAATATCACGACATGTTCAAGTATTTTCTTGACACAGAAAATAAAATGTGCTTATACTGATTAAGGAAAAGGAAAGGTCTCAAAATGTCCATGCTTATAAATGTGAGGAGGAGGGTAAGACAAATTTGTAATACATTTTGGGATTTTCCAGTTTCTGTAATTTAGGGTCACAGTTTTTAACATCCCACAAGTTCAAGTAAATAAAGCAATGATGTGTCCTACAAGCAACCAGGCGATCGCCCAAGTGCTAGATGAAACTCTCTCCTCAAAACAAAGGTATGTGTACTCATCCGTTACACGTTCACAATGACCTATTAAAAACTAAATGCAACTTTTTGTTTAGATGGGAAGATCTAAGGTGAAGAAATAATTGCAAATATTTCTAAAACTGTATGTATTTTTATACAACTCCAACACAAACCTAGATTATATGAAAGTAAGGCAAAGCAATTTATAAACATGAATTTAACCTGGTAATTAAAAACATTTCCAATCAAAACAGCTTAATAAGGTACATCTAGTTTTATGTTCTCTTGGCATTATAGACAGGAAATATTAATGATCATTACTACACTTTTTACCATACTATTTACATATATAAATACATGTATCTGTTTACAAAAAAAAATTTTATTGCCTAAGGCATTTTCAAATACAATTTTACCTTTTACTACATTGTGATATTATAAATTCTATATTTCCTCTAGGCAAATAAGATAAACTTACCCAAGAGCTTTTTTTTGCTTTTCTCCAAAATCAAATGGAACAGTAATAACTACATCATTTGCATCTGAGCCCAATACAGAATGTGCTGTTTCTGTATAAAAAATAAATAAATTCTAATGACACAAGAATGTCATGATACTTTGTGGTTTATTAATTTGTGCCACGGTCATCTCACTGTAAAGATTTTCCAATTTACTTATCTGCCCACCCCACTCATGTTCTTCTTTGCCTCTTAAATATTTTCAGTTTATCGGGGCACCTGGGTGGCTAAGTCGGTTAAGTGTCCAACTTTGGCTCAGGTCATGATCTCACAGTTTGTGGGTTTGAGCCCCGCATCAGGTTCTGTGCTGACAGCTCAGAGTCTAGGGCCTGTTTCAGATTCTGTGTCTCCCTCTCTCTGCCCCTGCCCCGCTCGTGCTCTCTCTCTGTCTCAAAATTAAATAAGAAAACCAAAAAAAATTTTTTTAATTTTTTAAGTTTATTTATTAATTTTGAGAGAGACAGACAGACAGTGTGACTGGAGGAGGGTAGAGAGAAAGGAAGAGAGAGTCCCAAGCAGGTTCCTAACTGCCAGTGCAGAGCCCGATGGAGTATTTGAACTCAAGAAACTGTGAGATCATAACTTGAGCCGAAACCAATAGTCCGAGGCTTAACTGACTAAGCCCCTCAGGCGCCCCTCTTCACTGGCTCTCTTAAATCATGCACTTTTTGTGGATCTGAAAGTTTGTGGACATGGATCCAGGTACTTTCCAAAAAGCTCGGCTCTTAGGCTTCAAAGTTTCAACCCTCTCCCAAATTAGACTGCTTCCATTAAGAATGAGCTTTTAATGGGTCCATGTGAACACAAAACAGCATGTTAGTTAGTTCAACACACTGAAAGAGTGCCTTCCACCCCACAAATTCGTAACAGAATTCCAGAGCTGAAGTGAGCCTTCAAATCTACTCCAGAATTTCCCAAATTGTTCCACAGCATGCCCTCAGTTTCGAGCCTTCATTGGCAGTGTTAATGAGCCAGACCTACTTAACCTGCCTAAAGAACTGTTCAAGGAGCACTGCCAATCTTGAGCAGAGAAAGGAAATACTCACTCCTCAAACTGATTTGGCCACTTCAATTTAAGCAGCTGTGAAAATGCTAGCCTGGCCCAACCCATTTACGTTACTTCTAAGGAAACCAAAGTCAGGGAAGGGAAGTCAATTAACCAAGGTCACGTGGACAGTTAGTGACATAGTCAGGTCTAGTGTTAGGTCTCCGTAATCTGCTCAATCACCCTGCTCCTGATCAAGATACAGCTCTAACTTTTCTTTAAGGTCGACTTTTAAAAGATCTCTTTTGCTCAATACCTTTCATTTTACTAAATATCAGTCTGGCAACATCTTCTGGGTTAACAAACTTTGTTTCTTCTCCAGTATCTATTTCGTATCGTAACTTCCCATTTTTTTCAATGACCTATAAAGGAAATTGTAGGTGTGTTAAATAAGGAGTGATTTCAATAAAAATACAAAGTTTCAAAATAATATAATTGGTTATGACCTTGGCAATTACTTTGGGTAATGGAGAGGTAATAATAGAACCATACTCACTAAACATTTACTTTCCGTGATGTATTTCTGAGCCTGTGGATCATCAGAGCTGTCCATAAAGATAAAGATAAATATTAAAATCAGTATTGTTGATATATAATATTTAAAGAAAACTGTATTTTTCAATACCACTAAACAAAAATAAAAATATAAACAAAATCATGAAGCTGCTTAATATTAACAAATCACAATATAAATGATAGGATCAAATGGATGCAGTATTTACAGTGGTTATAGTTAATTCTATTCCAGTGTTAACCTTCACACACAAGTGTAAACCTTCACATTTGAAAGTAAATAGCTCTTATTTGTTCTGATCCTGCTATTAACAGATGCTATACATCTGAGGGTAATTCTTCATAATATCAATGATCTTATGTCCTGTACACTCCCATCTATGATCATGAAGACCCAGTGATCTGAGATAAAAAGAACAAAAAGAAAGATGTCCAAGTAAGGGCAACCCAGAACACCTAATACCATCTTTGTTGCTTGGCTTGTGAACATGAATCAACACCCAAAGCAAAAACAAACCCAAAACCCCAAGAAACAAACAAACAAAAACACTGAACAAAAGTAGGAATGTTATATATGGGAAGGCAGAGCATACTGCAGGTAGATAGATCTATAATGTCCTACACAAAGTGGGTATTAAATGTGTATGGGAAAGAAAAAAATTAAAACAATAGGTATTATGTTGCTCAAAATACCACTTTGTGCAGACTAAAAAATGTCTTCACATATACCTCACTTAATCTTCACAACACCTCAATGAGGTTAATTTGGGCAGGTATTATTTTGGAGGTAACAGTTCATAGAGAGTCAATGCCTTATAAGCTAATAAGGCATCAAAATACCACTTTGTGCAGACTAAAAAATGTCTTCACATATATCTCACTTGATCTTTCACAAACCTCAGTGAAGTTAATTTGGGCAGGTATTATTTTGGAGGTAATAGTTTACAGAGTCAATGCCTTGTAAGCTAGAAGTATTTGATCCCAGTCTTCTCTACCAGGCTGGCTGGTGCTGTTTACATCAAACCAGCCGCCTCCCAGTAACAAGGTAAATGACTAAAGTACTTCTGCCCCTTTGAGCAGTGACACAAGTCCTGGATCCTTGCCTTAATTTCACCTAGAAATTAAAGGAAACCCTTCTTCTTAACCCTTCTTCCAAGGGGTTGTAGCTATTCCATTCAGAGACCAGTCTTAAAAAAGAGGGGCTGAAAATTAATAGTGACTAACTGCTGCAGTTATTGGACATCCAAAGATCCTAACCTGGGTAAGTAAGGGGAAGACAGAAGGGTTTAAGTGACTAATTCAGCTTAGAACTACTTAGAACACTTGCAGATTCCTCACACTTCTCTATCTCCTAAAAGCTGATAGAGAGGGAAACAGGTAAGCAGCTTGACCAAAGTACCATGGTTAATTCATGGTAGAACTGACTGGAATCCAGATCTTTAACGCAAAGTTTAGTATTCTTTTCACGAAGCCCTCCTTTCCTCCCTTTCTCTAAATCCAGTATTTTGACTAGATCCTGGACAAATATTTAACGAGTAAGACAAAAAAAGATGAAGTGTGGCATATTTATTTATTTGCACCAATATAATTTCAGCATGACACTTACCAGTTGTTCTCTTTAGAACAAGAGTTTTGGCCGACCAGGACAATTTATCCTGTTACCTATCTATCCTGTAAGCTAGCTAAGTCAAGATAATTCGTTGCCAAAAAAGCCTTTATTATGGAATTTATAGAACTTATAGAAACGGAAAATTATTTCTCAACTCCCCTGCAAAGAGAGCCCCTCTCACTGAGGACAGAAAGCACACAAAACTCTCAGGGCCATATGAAGGCGACACCCTGGAAGTGAGCTAGTAGAGAAGCAGAAAGCAGAGAGTGGAGGTGACGACACATGGTCGTGGATATTGCCAGAAAGTAGCGGACTGACCACGAGTACATACAAGTAAAAACTTTATTAGTCCACACCAGGATTAAATCACTTAACAGAAACACAAAGGGTGGTGGGAGGTCGGCATACACGGCACCTCACTGACATCACGGTCTTCAGGAGCAGAGCGTCAGCCCCGCCACTGTACCACGACCTTTACAAGCACGGCTGCTTTCTCTTCCTTGTCCTTCCTTAAATGTCTCTCGCGTGACAGCGGACTGTCGGAGCTGGCACACAGCCGCCCCAACGTGCTCCAGGGTGGTCTTCCCCATCCCCGTCACAAGACCGTGCTTTCCGCGTGACAGCGTTTTTACCTTCATCGGTTCGTCTGGCCCTCACCACATTCCTGTGAGGTAGGTAGGAGCGTGATTCGTTTCTCCCTCTGCGGGCGAGGAACCGGAGTCCCAGAACGGGAAAGCGACCTGCCTCCGACGTGCAGGCACGAACGGCGGGGCCTAGAGCCTGGGGACGGTTTCTGAGCTCGTTCTCTCTCAGTGAGAATGGCCTCCACGTAACAGTATTTTTCGATTCATTAAGAACTTCCCTTTTAATTTTATTCTCACTTTAAAGTTATTTCACCCAAACGACATTCACAGTACTACCTCCCAAGTTTAATTCCACTTCTGTTCTGTAGCACTTCTCTTACCTAAAAAAAACCCCTGCCTACGTACTTTGCTACCGTTAATAGGTTAATATACTACAGGCCTAAGTCTCCTTCGCGTACTTCCCTGTTTTTCCAGAAAGCCTATGTACTTGTATTAGTGTTACCCAGTTACAACAGACACATACCCCTCCACACAAAGGCCTAAAACAAATGAGAAAATGCACAGCCATATATATCCATTTTACTGTCTTAACACAGGCTTCTTTAAAGCAAGGAACCTATGTCCGGTGTGGTGCTTATGTAAGTTGAGCATATTAATAAATACTAATACCATAGAATGCTCTCTTAAAACACAACTGTTACCAGTAATTCAAACATACAATATGCCACCGTGACTGAAAATATTACAATTAAATTTTTTACTTTGCCTTTTTGTTATGCCACGTATCAGAGAATTTTTTTTAGAACTAGAAGGTACTAGAAGAGTCATCTAGTACAAATCATGTTAAAGATATTGAAGCACAAGAAGGGCAAGACACCTGCCCAAGGTCACCAACTGGGACAGGGTTAGAATCCAGTGCTCAACCACACCAGCCATCTTCTACTGTCACCACCGCCCATCAGCGCAGCCTGCCTGCCGCCCAGGCACGCTCCGGCTATATTCCCACTCTTCTGACGCTTTCCCCACCTATCTGCCTCTCCAGGATGTAGGTAAGCACCCAAGCCTACAAAATATAAAACAAAACCTCTTCAAACATGCCTGCACTTGTTTTTTCTCAACCTGTAGACTGGAGGAGAGCCTTTTAAATTCCAAGGCTCCTATTTGTATTTCCTGAAAGCACTAAGTAAACCACTTAAAAGCTTTGAAGCTTGTTAAATGACGGCCAATAATGGCATTCTTTCTAAAGAAATCGGAAGTATGGCTCTACATCTTCCTATCTCCTAAAAGCAGCACGTATGTTTGGGGGGAAAGGAGGATGTATTTATTGAGGGCTTTGTGCTTAAAAGGAGTTATTTATTGCAGGCAGTCTTTATCCACACCATCCTCGGCTGTTCCCAAAGCTGTCCTCTTCCACCATATGCCATGAACAAGGCGAACTTTTGTCTACAATGTATGAGAAAGTGACTTTGCAAAGTTCCCCAGAAGCAAAGTCTTCTAGGGCTTGCCTCTGTAACATACTAGACAGAAAAAAGGCTAAAAGAATGAAATTAGCTAAAAGCACTTGGAAAACAGATTCCAAATTGTTTCCACATGTTCCAAGGGACACCCTAAACCTAAAGACATGTAATTATGTATATTAAGGGAGCCAAATAATATGGAATGCAAAGAATTCACTTACATTTATTATTTCATAAAACAGCCAATACCTCGTTATATGGAAGATTATATGAATCATAATACACAACTGTAGCTCCCGCAGTTCTGAATTATATCCTTAGAGTGACAAGACACTGAAAACTAGTGAAAGGGAAGGAAAGCTGGTTTGACCATTGAGTGCTTACTAGTATGTCATAGACATAGCAGCGAAAATATAAGAGATAAACATACAAACACATGTATCTAGATTAATGAGCCATAGAGGATTAAAAAAAAATGAAAACCTTAAACTTCTAAGAAGCAGTCAAGTTAAATTGGTAAAGATTGAAGCAATGAAGTCATGGCAGACACCATAATTCTTTATCTTGTCAACTAATGTGCCTCACCCTAGCCTTACCTCGGCCAAGGTCATATGCATTAATAGTAACTTACATGTATATAGTGTGTAGTGCTTTTAAACCCTTTCACATCTACTAGCCGTTCGGTCCTCACAACAACCCTGTGAGGTAGGCAGGTCAGGAGTTATTACCTGGCCCCCATTTTACAGATGAGGAAACTGGTGTCGAGGTAAACTAAACTGCCCATTAGTGGCGAGGCCACTGCTAACCAACTCTCTGGTCTCGGCTCCATCTGTTGTTAGACCACTCCTCACAAACCCGAGAGGTCTTCAATTCGTGGAGAAGCTTGGGAAAAGCAACTAGCACGTATATTCCCACTACTCTGCACATTAATGGTTCATCCGCTCTTTCTTTCCTTTATTCCTAAGGACGTATAAAAGGAGCCAGGGTACCAAAAGGCAGGTGTTGGAACTGGGCTTCTACCAGTTTAGGAAACGCTCTTTAGAAGCAACGTCTAACTTTTGGTATTCGAAATTAACCTCTGAAGCAATTTTTCGAGCCCTAGCTGAAAAGCACCGGTGGCCTCTTCCACCGCCGTGGCCAAGCGTCTGACTGCGACCACAGCATCCCTGCGGAGCTCGTTGGCAGTGTCCTGCTGAGCACTGGCCTCCTCACCAATAGCAATCAGCCTGTCCAATTTCTCTTCCTCACGCTTTGAAAGTTCACGTGCCAACCTCCTGTTTTCTGCCAACTCGGCCGCAATAGTCCTGGCCACTGACCGCCTTCTTCGCCTCGCCCACCGTGGAGGGGGCTCACCGGTCAAAGGCCTATCCCCACCAGAAACAAAAGGAACTGTGGAGGAGGAGACCGGAGGCCGCGGTGCGGAGGCCACCCCAGGAGTGTTTCGGCTGGTGCTGGCGCACGGACTGGGCTCACCGGACACACCCAGTCGGGTCATGGGGCTGCTCTGACAGGGAGCAACCGCCCCTCTGAAAAGGTGGTGGGAGCTGCTGTAGCTGGGGGTCCCTTGAGAGCACCCTGAAAAACAAAGCAACAACGTTGCAAAGAGGACATTCCTGCTAAGGGAATGCTTGGAGCCAGCGGCGGGGCTGAGAGGCAGTTACAAAGCTAAGGTTGGAAAGGCCTCTTTCCACCATGGACTGGGAAGACCTCAATTCCTTAAACCGGACACTTTGGCCAACTGCAATCTTATCTCCAAAACCTCCCCGTTGCCTTTCTGAACCCTTTTCCATGTAGCCAGCCAGCCCCATCTCTAGTCACAAATTCCTACGCACCCACTATAAATAATGGCAAAACTAGTCTGGTTCTAAAGAATACTTCTTTCACATTTAAGAAGTTCTAATACCTTACATACCTAAGGTCATTGCTTTTAAGAACCTGGAGCCCTTTATCTGACCACGGGGCTTTAAAAAAAAGATGGCACAGGGCAGAAATGGAGACAGTGCTGAAGACAACACCTCCAAACATATCCTGCTGTTTAGAACCAAGGGACTCTGGCACCCCAATCCTTCACATGCTTGGGAGTTACCTGCACCCGAGGATTCATCCCAGGAGTCCTCAAGGTCACTGGTTTCTCGCATCTGGTCACTGATTCTCAGTTGACAATCCTCATCTGATTCCTTAACTGTTTTCAAGATAGGCTGATGATCTGCTGCCTGAGTCCTTTTTGCTCTGAGAATGCTGGGTCCCTCTTCCCCTGGGGTGTCAGAGGCAACTAAGTTCTGATCACAGTGCTTGGCCCAAGCAGTGTCCTCCATTAAGTTGTCTGGGTCAGTCACTATCTGATTTCGGAGAAGCTGATCCAATGTATCATAAAACGGGCAGTGTGGTGGATCACCCACACTCGTGGCGTGGGCAACATACGCCTTTAAATATAACGCCTTCAGGACTTTAAACTTGGAGCGGCACTGACGTTCTGTGCGGCGGAAGCCTTCCTGCTGCATTCGCTTAGACACGGCCTGATAGACATCTGCATTATGATGCACAGTCTGGAGGCGCTGAATATACTCTGCCTCACCTAGTATGGAGAGAAGAGTTCGCGTCTCCTGTCTGGACCACCGGATGCCCGCACTGCTATTGGAACTGGCCATAGCGGGCTGGGAAGGAAGACCAGCCGCAGGAAGCTCCTGGGCGGCAAGGTGCGAATCTGAAGGTGTGGGGGAGCTCTGCGTGCTCTGTGTTTCCAGAAGCCAGCCGGTTCTTCCCTCTCAGGGCTAATTGCTGAGAAGCCAGGTCCAATGACCGCATTTCTGGCTGGAAGGCCACAGGGGAATGAGAGTTACAGGGAGGGTCGTAAGGATAATCGTGGCAGCAAGCTAAGTGGTGCTAACCGTAAGTGCGGTGCAAGCAGGCTGGATGCCAAGACTAAGAAAGCCCACCTGTGGGAGTCTGCCCAGGACAGGTACTGGACCCAAAGCCTTAAAGGGTCTTACTGGCTTGGCCAAAGGGGACTGGCTCCTCCACCAAAGACAGAGTGCTTCTAAGGCCAAGACCTGGTACAACTGCTTATCTGTAAAAATCGTCATTGTCTTCTAAGCAGACTGAGGGCGGAACGAGTGGACCATGAGGCGGCTCACTCTAGAGAAGCGTGTGCAGGATCATGGCGTAGCAGCAGGTCTGAAGAGCGCTCAGCCTTCACTGGCCTTGTGGCTATATATTACCCATCTGACTGTCACCACTGCACTCTGTTAAGACGTAACTTTGAGGGCAAGAAAAGTACACTTAAGTTGTTCCTGATACTACAAAGATGTTGCATGATATGGCAGAAGACAATTATATCAATACTCAGATCATCTGCCCTAAAATGGCAGCATAAAAAAGGGCTACCAAGAGATAGATCTAGTGAAATGTTCTGCGTCTGGACTGGATCAAGTCAGTATCCGGTTGTGCTTCTGTACTAAAGCTTCGCCAAGATGTTACCATTGAGAGAAAGCGGTAAATCCAATAATATATGGGATTTCTCTGTTATTATTTCCTACAACAGTATGTAAATCTACAGTGATCTCAAAATAGAAAGTGTAATAAAAAAAAGCCCATATTTTGGCTGCTTATAGCAAATCTAGCTTCAAGTCCCATGTACAGCTCCCTGAATTTTTAGAGATTTTTTTTTAATTTGCAAATTTCTGACACCAGCTAACTTATTTTTGATATGCTCAATACTAAGTTTTATCAACACATAAATGGATATGGGAGTATATTAACCATCACAAAAATTTTAATTCTTTCTAAAATACTATCATTTTTGACTTAGTGCATAAATACCCTAAAGAAAAAAAACAGTGATCAAGTTCAGCTTAAATACGTGTAAGGGATAATAAAAAAAATACCTGTATGTATAAAGAAATAAATATTAGCTTTATTCCCAAACCCTCAAAACCTAAAATCAACATAGGACATTTTAAATTCTCAGAAATAGAAAGACCTGAGGCTAGGTTAGAAGTCCTGAACCACACTTCCATGTAGCTCGCCCCTCATATGAGCAATACCGTAACTTCTATGTGCCTTGATTTTCTCATCTACAAATGGGGAGGAATAAAACCTGTCCTACCAATCTTTTAGGGATTTGAGAGGATTAAATAATAGATGTGAGAGCACTTTGAAAATTTATAAACACTGTATCAAGTATTACTACTCCAGGGAAAATGAAAACCTCTAATTATTATGGTAATCTATAATTTGAGGAGACAGAAGTCTGGAGAAGCAAGCCTCTTTAATCTTTTAATTAATGTTACAACAGATGATTAACCTGATTCTTAAGTTGTTAATTAAACTGTTTCTTTAGTGATTAAATTCATAATGCAACTGGAAAAGTCAGTTCCCAGAAAGTGTCACAAAGGGACCTGAGGAAGAAAATCAATAGCTTCTATATAAATTATGACCAACTGTAAATAGATTTTGCAAAATTGACTTCAGTGCAGAAAAATCTTCAAGTTCCTGTAAAATCTTTCAAGTTCCTTCAGTGATGTAAACAGGTGAAAAGTCCAAATTACCACTTCTAAATGACGCAAATTATCAAACACCATGAATGTTGGCATTAGTCAATAAGAACACACCGATCCGCAAGAAACAAGTATCTGAGTGAATCCCATCCTTAAGAAAATTCAACACAAATTATCATAAGAAAGACACGGGATAATCTCTGAAACGACTCAATCATAAAAAGCAACAAAAAACTGACTGGTTTTTCCAGTTCCATTGTACATATTGCTTGGAATGTATAAACACATTTTATTCCCATATGTAAGATCATTATTTTATTCCATACCTTCTGCCAAGGATCTGCTTTACTTTCATTACTGTATTTGAAATATTTCTTATTCTACTTTGTTTTGCTGCCAATCCAACAACCTGAAAAAGAGCAGCATATTACAATGCATGTAATTTTGCTTATTTCAAACAAAAAAAAAATGAGGGGAACAGTACCTCTTCATTTTCTGTGTAAGCAACTACAGCTGGAGTAACTCTGTCACCTGCATCATTTGCAACCACATCAGCCCGGCCATCCTGGAAAAACATATACAACTCTATTAGGTCTTTTGAAAAACAACAATAATAAAAAACCCCACCAAAAAAAAAAAAACCACATATAGACATATATAGATAGATAAATACATACATAGTCCCATCAGACATATGTTGACCAGTGTTATCTTACCATACATATAGAAAGAAAAATCGCTCTATCAATGTTTTAAATCTGTAGATTCAATTGCCTTTATTAATTGCCTAGATTTTATACAAGGTCAACATTCCACAAAGAACTGCCTCATTTTTTCTATCCAGTCCATAACTGGATCAAACATATAATCTTCCTACATGCAATAACAAGCTTTTCGACATCACCCTTTCTAGTTTTCGTTCTTACCCGACAAATACATCTTTCTTCTTTTTTCTACGTATGATGAAGTAGCACTAAGTCTGTCTGGTTTTTCCTTCCAAGTGACTTGACATTTAAACGCGAGATCAGTATCAGTGGAGTTCGATATTATTGTTCCTTCCGCCTCCCCACTGATGAGAGGAAGGCTACAACTCCCTGTTAAGCTCTCTCATTCAAGAAAGGTCAAGTAGAGAGCACGCCACCAGCTAGCTTCACACGCTTTGCGGGATTAACAACTCCAGTCTGAGACTGCGACCACCCAGTCCTTTCCCGGCAAACATTCAGAAGCCTCGGGTCGCGGACGTTCAGGCCCACCTCCGGGCCTCCAGTACCCAGGAGGTCCCCGAGACCCCTCCCGGCCTCCGGCAACCCTGAGGTCCCCGGGACCGCCCCTCTCCGCCCCCCCCTGACGTCCCCAGGACCGCCCCCTCCGGGTCTCCGGCTGCCCTGACGTCCCCAGGACCGCCCCTCTCCGCGCCTCCAGGGGCCCTGACACCCCNAGGCCCACCTCCGGGCCTCCAGTACCCAGGAGGTCCCCCCCCCCCCCCCCCCCCCCCCGCTGCCCTGATGTCCCCGAGACCTCCTAGGCCTTGGCTGCCCTGACGTCCCCAGGACCGCCCCCTCCGGGTCTCCGGCTGCCCTGACGTCCCCAGGACCGCCCCTCTCCGCGCCTCCAGGGGCCCTGACACCCCCGCGACCGCCCACCCTCGAGCTTCCAGTGTTCACCACGTCCCCGAGATCCCGCTGGGCGTCCAACGGCCCTGACGTTCCCAGGACCGCCCCCCTCGAGGCCTCTGGCTGCCCGGACGTCTCCAGACCCCGCGCGCCCGCGTCGTCACAACGCTCCGCCAGGACGCAGCGGACTTTGCGCAGGAGCTGCGGCGGACGAGGAAGGGTCCGCTCGGCCCTTCGCCTCCAAACTTCCCGCAGTATTGTCTCTCCGCCTGACATTCCCAGGCCGGCGACACGCTGTCCACAACCCCGCGGGAGATCAAAGGACTTGGCCCCGCAAGGGGAGAGCTGGGTGGCCGACCTTAATCACAGCCCCGCTCCCCGAGCCCCTCACCTTATAGACGGCCACACAGGCTGAAGTGCAGCCCAGGTGAACTCCGATGGCCGCCATGAGGCGGCAGAGACGGCGGCAGCACTAACGACTGGTCCCCCCAGTGGCAAAGGCTCCCTGCCTCCGAGCGGCCCCATCAGGCACCGCGGAAATTTCACGTTCCCGCCCGCCCACTGCGTCCCGTCCGTCCGCCGCGGCCTCCCGCGTCGCCGCCAATCAGCGTGAAGGTTTCGCCTTTCCTCTCGGACTGTCTGCGAATAGCTTTACTGCGTTCCCCCCAGCCCCCGCCCTACCGGAAAGGCACCGCGTGTGCGATAGTGCGCACGCGCCCGTGGGGAAGCGCCTGGAGGGGGCGTGGACTCTTTGCTCCGCCTCCCTCTGGCCCTTTCGTGGAAGCCAATGGAAACTCCCGATGGGGTTGCGTCATTTGTCCTAGCAACTCCGGGCAGATTCCCCCCCGCCCCCGACACTAGCCCCGCTGCTCTGCGTCCTGGGGCGTTAGCAGCGTGGCTGTTGGCGGACGCAGGTGGCGAGGCGTTCGGAGCAGCTGGCTCAGCATGCGGGGCGCGGGCCCAGCCGCGATGGTGGCCTTTTATGCCGGGCTTTGGGTCTCTAACCTGGGGCCGGCGCTGGGCCAGGAGGCCGGGGCCGACTGTGAAGGTGAGCGGTGTGAGACCTGCTTGCATGGCGGTGGCACCGCGCGGCAGCGCAGCTGTTGTCGGCTTTGGCTTCTCCCGGCCCGGACTATAAATAACATTTAACTTCGGAAATGTAGGCCCCGTGCCGGGTTTCCCAGCGCCCTCTCCCAAGCCTAGGCAAAAGTTCGATCCTGGCCCAGTGGTGCCTTGAGGCCGCGTTCTGGTCTTGAGATTATTGAACTGCGGTTCTGGTTTTGAGATTGTTGAGCTGCGGTCCGAGGTTTGGATTCGGATTAGGTCTGTGGCAGACCCACCTAGCTTCAGAAGACCCTGCCGCCGCCGCCTTGGTTCCGCTGCAGCCGACGGGCGAGACTGACCTCTCCCGGCACAGATGTCCTTCAAATGTGAATGTTTGGTTCCCAAAAGAAAAATAAAACGCTGAGTTGTCTGTAATTGAGTTGAGGTGGCTTAGACCAGAGAACATAACTAACGTCTGTTTCGGACGTTACGGAGAAAAGTTGCTTTACAAAGGGGCACATGGCTGCTTAAGAGGAATAGCCATCAATGATTCCTTTCCAGTTGGCAGAAGCTCAGCGATGCACTTGCAGTCGGAACACGTGAGTCTAGGTTCCGTCCTCTCCCCCCCCCCCCCCAAGCCTCTTCCTTGCAAAATCAGCGTGATAATACCTACTTCAGACGGCTGTTAACAAGAGCAAAGAAGATAATTAGCTATGCTCATTACTATGCTGGCCCCTTCCTTCTGGTCTACTGTAACGCCTCCATTTTTCATTCATTGAATTAATTTATTTAAGTGTATATCCTTCTCACCCTTCTGTGACCTTGGGACTCTCCCTACTTACCAGGAAACTAGGGGCACAGTATACATTAAATACTGGGTGAGTGTAGTTTGTATAGTAACTTAATGAAGTCTTAAGGATTGGAGTCCAGTTTTCTGTCGGCCCTGCAATAATTAAACTTCTCTCCAGAAATTTAAAATACATACACGATGTTATTTTTTTTAATTTTTAATGTTTTTTTAAAATTTATTTCTGAGAGAGAGAGCGTGCGCGAGCAGGGGAGGGTCAGAGAGAGAGAGATACAGAATCTGAAGCAGGCTCCAGGCTCTGAGCTGTCAGCACACAGCCCGACCCAGGGCTCGAACCCACGAACTGTAAGATCATGACCTGAGCCAAAGTCGGACGCCTAACCGACTGAGCCACCCAGGTGCCCTGACACGATGTTATTTTAAAACTTTGTAGAGATGTAGATATTTGTTCAGCCAGGTTGCAATTTTACTTAAAGATCTCTTATAACGGTGTCCTGTACATTTAAAGCAGAATTTGTGAGACATGAACAGCTGATTGGATTACTTCTCAATTTAATTTCTGGAGCATCTACCTGGAAACATTTCAGATAAGCCAGAGCATTTGGACTAATTAAATGTGAAGCGTATGCCGTCTTTCCTAGATTTATTTACAGCATATTGTGATTATTGCGTGTCTGACTAGACCTCATTTTCTACTGCCCTTGCCCCTCTTGCTCAGTCTGCTTCCACCAATCTGGTGCCCTGGCTGTTCTTGAACCCACACAGGCCACTCCTGCAGGAAAGCCTTTGCACTTTTTCCCTGCCTGGAGAGTTCTACCCCAGGCAGTGCACTATTTTTTCTCTCCCTTTCTTAATTAAGGGCTCTGCTCAGATACCAGTTTATCCAAGAGGTTTTCCTTGCCCACCCCATTAGGATAATAGTATGACCTTGTCACCCTCTAGCCTCATCACCATGTTTCTGTTTCTTCGCAGCCACAAGATACTTTTATTTATTCCCCAGAATGTAATCCTTGAGGGTAAGGACCTTGTTTTTCAACAGTCTCAAACACTTAATTATTGCCCAATGAATATTTGTTAAAAACATGAATGACAGGCTGTTACATTTAATGTTCTGTTTAATAGCATTAGGAATAAATAGGACTTCAAGCTCTAAAAGAGAACATGATTGGTCCTCTAGCTGAAAACAACTGAAAACACCAGATAAAATAAAAATGTAAGGGTGCCTGGGTGGCTTAGTCGGTTAAGCATCCAACTTCGGCTCAGGTCATGATCTCACGGTTTGTGGGTTTGAGCCCCGCATTGGGCTCTGTGCTGAGAGCTCAGAGCCTGGAGCCTGCTTCAGATTCTGTGTCTCCCTCTCTCTCTGGCCCTCCCCTGTTCACGCTGTCTCTCTCAGAAATAAGTAAAACATTAAAAAAATTAAAAACAAAATACATAAAAATGTAAAAATATTTTTTAAGTGTAACTTAGTAAGGCATACACAGAGACCAAAGACAAGGTGAAAGTGGAAACTAAAAAAAGTAAAAGGAGCAGAGAGGTGGCTTTTGCCTTGAGGGCATTTATTACCCAGGCAATCTTAATTTAGGTTTTCATGGCTAGGTAAAATAAAGAGAATGAAGACAAAGCCCAGCACCTTCCCAAGGTAGGAATGTAATACTAGGTCCTTCACCAATTCGTTTGGAACCTCAGAGAGTTAGACCTTCATTTTATTTATTTTTATTTATTTTTTTAATGTTTTTTATTTATTTCCGAGAGAGAGAGACATCGTGAGCATGGGAGGGTCAGAGAGAGAGGGAGACACAGAATCTGAAGCAGGCTCCAGGCTCTGAGCTAAGCTGTCAGCACAGAGCCCGACGCGGGGCTCGAACCCATGAACCGTGAGATCATGACCTGAGCCGAAGTCGGATGCTTAACCGACTGAGCCACCCAGGCGCCCCGAGAACTTCATTTTAAAAGGTGACCTGGAAATAGCCACAACTCTACTCCCATCCTTAGAGACTAAAAGGAATTGTGTTTCTTGAACTTTGTACCAAAAGGGGTAACTCATAATCACAACATAACCCACAATGCGTGGAGCCCCAAATGCCCACAACCTGGGTGATCTGAAGCATCTCAAACTGAAATTTTACTTTAAAGGGATTTTAAGCAGGCATCAGCAAATATTGCTGTAGGAATCGACTTTTAGCCCAGCCTGCAAATAATTCTGAAAGCTAAAGTCTAAAAAATAAAGCTCACATTCAGAAAAGTGAAGACTAGTGGCAGACACAAGGCAGAGATTAGTGGCAAGGCTTCAGGAACTGGAATTATCAGGCACAGAATAGAAAATACCTTTATGGGGGCGCCTGGGTGGCTCAGTTGGTTAAGCGTCCAACTTTGGCTCAGGTCATGATCTCGAGGTTCGTGGGTTCAAGCCCCGCATCGGGCTCTGTGCTGACAGCCAGCTCCGAGCCTGGAGCCTGTTTCAGATTCTGTGTCTCCCTCTCTCTCTGACCTCCCCTGCTCACGCTGTCTCTGTCTATCTTAGAAATAAATAAAGCATTAAAAAAAATACCTTTATGATGTCCAAAGAAATAAAGGAAGGGACTGAAAATATGAATAAAGGGCAAAAGGCTATTTAACGTGTCCAACCATATTTGGAAAAATACCAGATTAAACATCGACAAATAGAAATTGACAGGATCAACAGCAGATGAGATACAATTGATAAAAGAATCAGTGAGTGACACGATTGAAGAATTTGTCAAGAATGAATCACGAAGAGAGACAGAAGAAAAAAAGAAAATTTTAAACACAGCCAGAGGAAAAAGACTGATGACCTTCAGAAGAATGGCAATTAGACTGTCAGATGATTCAATAGTGAAAGACCCAAAGTCACACAGCTAGTAATGAGTAAAGCCAGGATTTGGACTCAGAGAGTCTGGCTTCAGAGCCCCATGCACTGAATTACTACCTATACTGCTTCCTGAGTATGGTTTTGGGACCAAATTATTTAAGGAAATTTTATAAATAAAATTGGAATGATGAAGTTGTGTACAAATTATTTAGGAAGTTCTGGCTATTCTTAAACTCTTAACTCCTCATAGCATGTGTTACATTTGCAGATAGTAATTCTCCCCTAGAATTGGTACCACCAAGACTAATCTGGTGTCTTTTTTATTCTTTTCCTCCAAAATCAAGCAAATAATGGAAGACTAACTTCACTTCTAGAAGGTGTGGATGGAACTTTTGAAAATAATGTTTCTAGCCCACTTGTAGTTTGATTATTCCACTCACCCGATTTTAAACATTTATCATTGTAGCTCTTTTCCTACAGGTGACATTATTATATTTTCCAAATACTGTTTTTTCTTTTTGGGCTCTGGCTAATTATTGCTGAGTTGGTCTGTGATTTCACTTTAAAATTCTAAATTCAATTTCATTAATATTACCAAATATTTTTAATAATTAAAAAAAACCTTTTAATGTTTATTTATTTTGAGGGAGAGGGAGAGAGCATGAGCAGGGGAGGAGCAGACAGAGAGGGAGACACAGAATTTGAAGCAGGCTCCAGGCCCTGAGCTGTCAGCAAAGAGCCCGATGTGGAGTTCGAATTCACGGACTGTGAGATCATGACCTGAGCCGAAGTCAGACTCTTAACCGACTGAGCCACCCAGGTGCCCCAGTATTACCAGATATTTTGTTTGAGCATGTTGGGGATTTTTGTGAGAGTCAAAGATATTGTGGTGAGTTTTGAACATAAATTAGGAAATATTTCAAACATACAGAAACTTTAAAAAAAAATTTTAATGTTTGATTTATTTCTGAGAGAGAGAGAGAGAGAGCAGGGGAGGGTCAGACAGAGAGGGAGACACAGAATCCAAAATAGGCTCCAGGCTCTGAGCTAGCTGTCAGCACAGTGCCCGATGCAGGACTCGAACCCACAACCGTGAGATCATGACCTGAGCCAAAGTCGGACGTTTAACCGACTGAGCCACCAGGCGCCCCAGAAATTTTTTTTAATAACATATACTTAGTATCTCAATTAAATGTTAATATTTCACTATATTTGCTACCATTCTCTGTATTTAAGAAAATACAATAAAATGGCTGCAGCTGCCATTTTCTTTCCACCCTTTCCAGGAGAAATGTCTGTTCTGAACTTCATGTGAGTTTCTTTCCCATTTTTAAAGAGTTTTTACTATAAGTGTATATATCCA